ATAATAGAATGAGTCAGTTTTTAAAGAAGTGGTGAAAAGCTCTTGTGCGCCTCAACTGGGTTCTTCACTTCCTGTCCTAATTTTTTTTTTTAGCATCACTGTCACGGGGCACATCACTCACTGCCAGACTGGTGCCTCCTCTTGATCACTATGAGGATTAGTTCAAGGCCGATGCCCCGACTTACACACCGTAACTCCATCTCTGCATCTGCCTGCAGTCCCTCTTGCAGCCTCAGGAACTGCTGCACCCTCTTCACAATTCAGCCCTCCCATTGTGTCACCATCTGTGTTGCCTGCTTCTGGGGGCTAGTGTCTCAGTCCAAGAGTCATGCCAATTCTCCAGGGGCCAGTGGTGGGGACCTGGGGCCGCCCACTACTCCAGATCCCAGCCGAGGGACCCTTTGGATAGCAGCCTCCAGCTACGCCTCTAATTCCTCTCACTGCTGCTACAGTCCCCTGGACCACTTCCCCACAGCCCCAGCATCTTATTCGCCCTTACCTCAGGGCACACAACTGCTCAGTCCCTTCAGCCAGCCAGGACCTTTCTCTTGCTCCACTGGTCCCTGCCAGCAACTGACCTGTCAGTGGTGCTAGCTTTCCTTCAGCCTATTAGGGACCCAGTCCTCACGCCTTGGGCTCCCAGCAGCAACTAACCTCTGCTCTGCCCTGAAGCTCCTTTTATGTAAACTTGCTGGGCCCTGATTGGCTGCTCCTTGCAGCCTCTCTCCTATTGGCTGCACCCCACACAGCCTCTTTAGGCTGCTCTGAGGACTCACCTCGACTACGCCCTACTGGGATTAACCCTTTTTTATACCTGTGCGGGGCCAATGCCCCATCACAATCACTACATTATGCTTTGTTTAAAATAGCTGCTGCTGCATTCCTCTTCAGAGATGGCTCTCTTTTTCTGATGGAAGAAGCCATTCCTCATGGCGTGTGTCTTTGTGCATACAGGAGAGTGCAAAAGGTTATCACAGGATTGTGAAGCACTTCAGGACCCTCTGAGAAGGAAGGAACTGTGTAAATGCAAAACATGCTTATTAGCAATAAAATGAGAGGCAGAGGGGAAAAAACTGAGCCCCAGTGAAAAATTCTATAGTCGCTTGAAGGTGGGCCAGTTCCGCTTTTCAGTTACACTGAATGTACGCTGGGGTAAGTGAGAGCCAAACTGAGACTTGAATTATGCGATCATGCGTAGTGGAGCAGTGGAAAGGGTTGTGCTTTTATGCAGATGCACAAATGTTGAAATCCTGGCTAGCGGGCACTTCAAATACAATACTGTGGCCAAAAGGGCTACATGCACTTACTGTCTTATGCTGCTACTCTCTGCACCTTCATGCTGCACATTAAAGAATATTGTTTCCCTTCACACCTTTGGGACATCCATCCCTCTGATTGGTGACTTTAGCTCTGGTTATGGCCCTGGTGAGACTGACACTGGAATACAGAGCACAGTTCTAAAGTCCCCAGTTCAAAGAGAATGTTGAAAAAGTGGAGGGAGTACAAAGAAGAGCCCCAAAAATTATTCTAGGATTGAAAAAATGTATGGCAGTGAGAGACTAAAGGAGTTCAATCTGTGTAGCTTATCAAAAAGATCAAGAAGGGACTTGATTATGGTGTATAATGGGGTGGGCAAACTTTTTGATCTGAGGGCTGCATTGGGTTTTGTAAATTGTATTGAGGGTCGGTTAGGGGAGAGGGTCATGGCCCAGCCCCCACCTCCTATCTGCCCCCCCCCGGGACTTCTGCCCCATCCTACCCCCCCGTTCCCTGATGGCCCCTCTGGGACCCCTGCCCCATCCACACACACCCCGCTCCCTGTCCCCTGACTGCCCCGGAACCCCTTCCACTAACTGCCCCCTGCTGCCCCATCCAACCCCCCCTCCTTCCTGATTGCCCCCCCGGGACCCCTGCCCCCATTCAACACCGTTTCCCCCCCAACCACCATCCACACCCCCGTCCCCTGACCACCACCCCAAACTCCCCTGCCCTCTATCCAACCCCCCCTGCTCCCTTACAGCGCTGCCTGGAGCACCAGTGGCTGGCGGCGCTACAGCCACGCCGCCTGGCTGGAGCCAGGCCACGCCGCCACTGCTGCCACCATGCAACACAGAGCACCGGGTCAGGCCGAGCTCTGCAGCTGCGCTGCCCCAGGAGCTCACAGCCCCGCCGCCCAGAGCATTGCGCCAGCAATGAAGCAAGCGAGCTGAGGCTGCGGGGGAGGGGGGACAGCAGAGGAGGGGCCGGGGGCTAGCCTCCCGGGCCAGGAGCTCAGGGGCCAGGCAGGATGGTCCCATGGGGCAGATGTGGCCCACGGGCCATAGTTTGCCCACCACTCTCTTCCAGGGAGAGAACACTGGAAATGAAAGGGCTCTTTAATCCAATGGAGAAAAGCAGAACTAGAACCAATGGGTGGAAGTCAAAGCCTCACAAATTTAAGTTAGAAACAAGGCATGCATTTTCAAACAGTACAGATGATTAACCATTGGAACAAGCTACCAAGGGAAACACTCTTTTGCTGGCTTCAAGACTGGACACTTTTGGAAGATATTGCTTAGGCCAAACACAAGCTATTGAGAGCAAAACAAGAGTAATTGTTTTGGGAGAAAATTCCTGATCAGCTCTAGTAATTAGATGTCTGCAGACTCCCATTTGCTCCAGCAATTAATTGCCCCTGTGCACAACTGTAGGCTGGGTTTAAAAAAAAAAATCAGACCCCCTGACATCTTATTCCTAAACTTAGTGTGCATGGTTGTTTTTCCTCCTTTGTGCACATACACTAGTTTGCTATTGGAGGGTTGCCCGTGAGGTCCGAGCTGCTGACACTCAGTTTTTAATCAGTAATAAGCTAAAGATAATTTAAGCACTGGTTTGGGGAAGGAGTGTTTGTAATGACTTAGCAGCCTGACACGTCAGACCAATTTTGTGGGTAGCAATTCCAGAAGTGGCATGGCCTAGCAGGTAGGGCGTCAGCCTGGGACCCAGAAGATATGGGTTCTATTTCCCACTGACCTACTCCATGACCTAGGGTGAATCACTTCTCTATTCCTTTCCCACCTCTTGTCTATTTAGTCCGGGGAAGTCCTCTGAGGCAAGCACTCTCTCACTATGTGTTGGTACAGTGTCTAGCACTACAGGGACCTGATGTTTCAAGTCAAATCCAATGGACAAATTTCTTTACAAGTCTTCACCCATGCACCGGTATTTCCCCTGCTCCTATTGAAGCCAATGATAAAATTACACTGGTAATGTTTAAAGGAAAAAAATCAACCCCCTCATCACACGTGTGGAATGGTGTGTCTACAGGATCAGGGCCCTAATAACACAAAAGGACAAGAAGTGAAAGTCGAACTTCACTGTGGTTGTTTATAATAAATAACAAGAGCAGACGTCAAGGAAGCGAATCACAGAAGTACTAAGAGCCAAAACCTTTTATTGAAATAAAAAAGATATGTAAGGTTAATGCAAAACCAAGGCTGATCACAAAGAAAGAATGTTTTTTATGGCAGGTTTCTGACAACAGGTGGCCATAATTTCTGATCCTTTGAGTAGTCTATTTTTCTTGTTCCAAAGGACGTTACTTGAATACCTTGGGAAGATAAGATATGTTTTTCTCTGCTGGAGTAGCATAAAAATATATCTGTCGGCTCATATTATATACATATGTATGGGTTGTATTTCTTTTGTGGGAAAATATCACTATGTCAAGTATTTAAAATTAAGTATCATTATACTTATTTTCTTTATCGTATTGCAAACTTCTCTGTACAGTAATCTGACTCTTCCTCTGAACTAGACAAGTCCTCTACTTATTTGCAATCTTTTTAGGCACAGATACAACATATGGCTTATATGCCAGTCTGCTCCTAATTTTTTATAGTTAAGTACCTACACGTGAGCTCCTGTGGCTTTGAATAGTCTTAGTGGTTTAGATCCACTTTCAGACAGAATATATGGTAGGTACTCTGAGAATCAAAACCAACCAACTTGGGCATATCATACAGAAGACAACAAAACGACACTCAGTGATATTTACTACAATACCTAAAGCTCTAATCTGTGGAATCAGTTAATGATAATGTCTCTTATGAATGTTGAAGTCTGGCTGTGAAAGGACCCATGTAATATGAGAATATAGGTCAGTTGTTTGCAGACTTAGTGGAATGTGACTTTAGAGCTATGTTTGGAAAAGCAGCAGCTCGGGTATTCGTTCATGGCAGTTACTTTCTGACGAGCATGATTGGTTTCATGGTCAACCATGTCATATGGAAATGTGGGGTTTTTTTTTTAAAAGCAAACTGTCACAAACCGAAAAGCTTTGGCAAACCCAGCAGGAAGAGATTCATTACAATCTGTGCACAGTTAGTGAAATTCCACATCTTGCCTTTTTTACAGTGGTGCGGCTTCACCAAAACAATATCTACACTGTTGAACCTCTGAGCTCAATGACAGAAACAAAAATGTCCTAAATTGTAGAGACTGATAAAATGTGTTTAAACAAAAAAACCCCAACCCAACAATCTTACGTAACAGTAGAACTAAAAATTAGTGCAATAGAGAACTCTTTTCATCAAAGTGCAAGACTTGTTATGTCAATGTCACATCTTCAACATGGTTGTCTTTGGCCTGGTCTACACTACGACTTTAATTCGGATTTAGCTGCGTTAATCCGAATTAATCCTTAACCCGTCCACACAACGGAGCCAGTTACTTCGAATTAAAGGGCGCTTAAAATCGATTTCTGTACTCCACCCCGACGAGCGGAGTAGCACCAAAATCGATTTTGTAAATTCGAATTAGGGGTAGTGTGGCCGCACACCACCGAATTAATGTGGTTAAAATTAATGGGGTAGTGTGGCCGCACACCACCGAATTAATGTGGTTAAAAACCGAATTAATGTGCTTAGTGTGGCCGCGCACAATCGAATTTATACAATCTGTTTCCCAAATTCGAATTATCTAAATTCGAATTAATCTCGTAGTGTAGACGTACCCTTTGTTCATGTTAAAATGTAGTTTTCTACAGCAAAACATTAATTCTGTATTCAATTTAAAAGACTGCTACAAAAGAAAGATATGAGGCTGGGTCAAGATATTTCCAAGCCGATTTTCCTTTGTAGCTGGATGTCTTTGCCTTTCTGCAATGGATAACCCTACCAGGGAAACATGAAAGAAAACAGATAGGGCCCTGACATTTGGAAACTCCCAACTGATGAAGCAAAGAACACAAAAAACTCTCAGCCATTCCAGGATAATCTCACAAATGAGACTTTGTGTACAAAGCTCAAGCCCTGACTATTTTTACAAATGCATTACAGAGGGGTTGTGAAGAATTAAAAGTTGTTTCCCCCTGCCACGGCCTCTCTAGTAGACTGTTGTAGGTGGAACATTAATGCTCAGATCGGTAATATCTTTGTGAAAATTAAACTCCACCATGTAAAGTTCCTTCTCACTCCTGGCCAAGCCCTCTCTGTCACAATCACTACCATGTGAGGTTGATAAAAATAGCCAGAAAAAAATAGCTGCTTGTTTTCCATAACTTTAACACAGTTTTTTCTCCATATGGTCTGAATAATCCAGCTTTGGGCAATCTAATCGTCCACTCTTAGAGATAAAAGCCACTGCTGGAGGGTTTAGAATGATTTTGAAGCAGTTCTGTGCAGGAATGCAGCTCGTCTGAGGAAGCAGGGTTTCTGTTGGGCAGGAGGCAGTCTCGGGGGTATCCCACATTAGCGTTGGTCAAAACACAATCATTTTCGGGCTGAGGGAAGACAGAGAGAAAACGTTTAGGGGTTCTGGAGGATTTAATGTTTTAAACACTGAAGGTAAAGATGGGACTGTGGGGAAAGTGTCGTCTGGGACCTGGGAGAGACAGGTTCAATTTCTAAAAGATCTGTTCTAGGGATTATTTTGGGGCAGTTCTCTGCCCTGGGCTATCTAGATGGTCAGATGAGATGGTCACAATGGTCCCTTCTGGCCTTGGAATCTGAATCGATGAATCTAGGAATTCCCTGGTCTGCCACAGACTACTTGTATGACCTAGGGTAAGTCACTTGCTGTCCCTGTGCCTCACTGGGGTGCAACAAGGAGAATCCATTCTTGGCCATAGTCCTGGCCCGTCTTGGACGATCCAGTGGAAGGGGAAGGGGAAAGTCTCAACTGGTCTCTGTCACCCAGGGCCAGTCCTTGAAGATAGGGAAGACGCATGGGATGGAGCTACAGCTGAGGACAGGTCAAAATGCCACTCACTGGCCTAACCACCTCTCCACCACTCATGTAGGGGAGGGGCTTTGCCCCATACTACCCGGCTCTAGTTACTGCTTCTCCATTGGCAGAGGTGTGCCCTACCCTTGCCCACTGCTGGGGGGGGAGGATGAGGGGGGGCTGTTCAGAACCTGATTGGCTCTCAGCTCCCAAATGGCTAACCAATGGGGAGGCAGTGAGTGGAGCTGGTGGCATGGGGCAGAGTGGAGCCTGTGTTGATGGGGAAGCAGCACAGCATGAGGCAGTGGCTTTAATCACTGCTCTCCCAAGGCTTGTGGTGTGACCCTGCAGAAGTCATTTTAGTCTCTCTGTGCTTCAGTTTGTAAAACACAATCATTTTTGGGCTGAGGGAAGACAGGCGGGGGGATAGCTCAGTGGTTTGAGCATTGGCCTGCTAAACCCACCATTGTGAGTTCAATCCTTGAGGGGGCCATTTCGGGATCTGGCGTGAAAATCTGTCTGGGGATTGGCCCTGCTTTGAGCAGGGGGTTGGACTAGATGACCTCCTGAGGTCCCTTCCAACCCTGATATTCTACGAAACAGGGGCACATGAGGCAACTTGTATGTAAGAGCATGAGGCACTCACATACTACAGGTGAGTACCACTGACAGATAACTGGCCTATAGGAGCAGAGGTGAAAGTAAGCTGGTCCGGTCCAGTACGGCCTACCGGCAAGAGCCAGTATGCTGTGCCGGACTGGACCAGCTTCCATGGTGGTGATTTAAAGGGTCCAGGGCTCCAGCCGCTGCGGGGAGCCCCGGGCCCTTTAAGTCCCCGCCAGAGCTCCAGCAGCCGGGCTCCTGCAGTGATTTAAAGGGCCCGGAGCTCCCAGCCAGAGCCCCAGGGCCTTTAAATCTGGAAAGGCCCTGCCTCTTCCGGTTGAGGCCACGCCCCTGCTCAGGACTCCGGCATACCGGTAAGTCCTTTAAGTTACTTTCACCCCTATATAGGAGGCATTGTTCTAAAGGCACTCTGACATCTTTGCTGCAAAATCAGTCCTTCACCTTTGTTTTGCCAGAGCAATACCAATGGGCATATTGCAACAATCACTCTTTCGGCATTTCTGTCCATAAATACAGAGGTGAGGATTTTGCCGCACACTGTGTGCTGTGATCCCTATGGAAACTTGAGCCAGGAATGTTCACCTGTTAAGGACAGGAATCCATGCAGCATGTTCTCCATTCTTTTGTTCTTCAATTCATCATAGGAGAAAGGGTTAGCAAAGGCCCATTTTTCACCGCAGTGCACCACAATTCAATAGGACACTCTGGCAGGCTAACTCAATGCGTGTGTATTTGCAGACTAAAGGAGAAGCCTAGAGTTTCAAAAAGGGCTAGTGATTTCAGTTGCCCATCTTGAGACTCCTTAAAGGGGCCAACTGTTAGACACTGCTGGACTCCCACCCTCTGAACAGTGGGCCCCTGTCAGGTACCTCCGGTTGGACACCTGAAAAGTGAGAAACCTCACCCCACTACTCACTTTTGAAAATGCTTGGCCAATGGGGCAGGTCCTCCTCTGATGCCCACTTGACATTGGTGTAAGTCAATGGACTACAGTGGAGTTGCTCCTGATTTACAATGGTGTAAATGGGAGGAGAGTTAGTCCCCAAATTAATAAAATCACCACTAGATGAGGCGCTGAAACATGTGACAGATTCAGGAAATCTTTAGCTCCAATGTAAAAGAGCTGCTTACCTTATGGATATTATCCTGGCGTAATAACGGCATGTGTGTCCCGTAAGAGTGCATGGAGGCTTCCCGTTGTCCATGGATATTCACAAAGTGATCCAAGGCTGAATTTGGACACAGGTCCTGGGACACTGAAGGAACAGGGGTCAGTTGCTTTGCAGAAATGACCTGATATGAGGAAGGGGGGACAAAACCCGAATACGGAGTCATCTCTTCTTGGGATGCTCCTCTATCTCCCATCTCCATGCTGGACAGCCCGTTCAGGTAAAAATGAATGGTGGACACTCCTGTGTTTGGCACCTGAGCTGGGTAGAGCTGGGAGCTCAGCTCCTGTTCGACACCATAGCTATCGGTCTGTGCTGGGAGCCCCCTGGGTGGCTGATTTGCAGGCCTGTAGCTATAGCCCTGCCATGTGTTACTCCCTAGGGTTGGCTGGTTGGATGAGTCATGGCTGCACAGCCCATTCACTAACAAGTGCTGGTTGTGTTTTTGTTTCAGCTGCGGCTCTGTGTGCGCCTGGATCCGGTTTTGTTGGATGCAGGGCTGGCTTTGCTGCAGGAGTGGTTGATGTGCTCCCTGCACTGTGTGGAGGTTGCTCTTCAGCTGCTGCCCATGTTGCTTATGTTGGTAAGGGATTTCTATGGGTTGATGGAGATGGTTTGATCCATGAGGTCTGACCCATTGTGGACTCTGCTGCTGATGACCAAGAGGTGACTGTACAAACGGGGACAGCCCAAGCTCGGCTGTTCCTGCTGGTGGCCTCCACTGCAGGCTGCTAGGCTGCTGCTTATCCTCAGCAGCCTGCTTCACGAGCGAGGGTGTCGGCTGACTGAGAACTGAGGGCAACAGCTGCTCCCACGGCTGGCTGCTCTGCTGGTTTTGGGTCACAATGTGCTGCTGCATTTGCTGAGGGAGATGCAAGATCAGCGACTGCTGGTTTTGTGACGGGGGCTGGGGTGAGCACTGGGATCCTTTCTCTGGCATCTGAGATGGATACACCACTGGGTCTTTGCTTGGATTCTGGCCTGGGTCAGACAAGGAACAGGCCTGCTGCTCCCCAGTGGGCTCATCCTCACCTTTGTTTACAAGTGAACCATGAATATAGGAAAGGATTTCATTGTTTGTTAATAGATCGTTCAGAGACGGACTATAATCCAAGTCCATTTCTACCCTCACCATCCTCTCATCCAACAGCAAGAGCTCCAGATCCTCAGCATTCAGCCCCAGACCCTCCAAAGCACTAAACAGCTCAGTATTTGAACAGTTTTCATCACTGCTAATCGAGAGAGAATCCAGTGTGGTCAACACTGGGTCCCCTTGCCTCAAATCATCTAGCTCCTGCTGGGGACCATTTTCCCCAGAGGACAATGGATTAGCAACCGCATTCCAGTTCTCTCCTCCAGTCCCAAATAAGCCAGATTCTCCCAGGTGGCTGAAGAGATTGCTGCTGAAGGAATGTTTGGGAGTAGAAGCTGGGTGGGAGACATAAACAGCCTCATCTTGCCTCATCATGGCTCCCAGGAGAGAGTTTGGGTCTACATTGTCCTTCTGGGACCTCCCCCCTTTACTGTGAGAATTCTTTTTGGATCTGTTGTTTTTCCCTTTGTTGTGGAAAGGGTCAGGGAAGCCAGGAAGCGGGTAGGGCATTTGATATAACAGTGCCTCTCCTGTAGCAAAGGTAAAAGGAAGATGCAAAGAACGCTTCCGAAGGTGCTCCCCTCCTTCTTCATCTCTGCACAGAACAAAGACAAGATTGGTTATGGGCACATACCCACAAGGAGACCTAGAATGACTCGTCTCACAGGTTAATATCACCTCGCTGATTCCCCCTAGCGCTCACTTAGTCAACACTGGTATCAAAGATCTTTTTTGGAAGCTTGCACCTTATATGTGGGATGAGGGAGGGGAACCTAGGCGAGTGACCTCCATGCACAAAAGGTAAAGGAGATATTAAATAGTCTGAAGTCTTCCTCACGTATAACCCTTTCAGAAGGCTGCACTCGTACAAAACTGGATTTTAACATTGCTAAGAGAAAGGAATGTAGTTCAAAATCAACTTTCCACTAAACACACACCAGCGCCCCATTGCTGATAGTTACATTGCAAAGAGTATCAAAATCCAGCCTGCCAAAGTTCTCCATCACTGCCTACTCCAAAGTTTCTTCTTCTGAAGCAGCTGGTGCTGGCCACTGTCAGAGACAGGATATTGGACTAGATGGACCATTGGTCTGACCCAGTCAGGCCATTCCTATGCTCCTGGAAAACCTTGACTTTAATTTTGGAATCTGATGCAGAACTAACATAGGGTTCTTAAAACAGGGGAGTTGTGTTTGGTTCTCTGGTGCATGGACAAAGTCAAGTAGCTTCACCAGGTTTATATTTCATCCTGGACAAAATAGAAATGGAAACTCCAGATGGAATGAAGAATGACACTAACTAAGACTTGAAAAAAAAACCAATAGCATTTATCAGCTGTTTTGTGTGAAGGTAAGGTCTCGCTGAGGGATATTCCCAGATGGTAGAGGGATGTTCTAGGCTAGGGACTGTGCATCAACAGCAAGCTCGCATATGCCTAACTGATGGTATAAGTGATATCAGGGTATCAGTCACAATCTTGTGCCATTGAAGTCAATGGGAGTTTTGCCAGAGAGTTCACTGATGGAGGTTCAAGCATTTACCTCCCTAAAATGCAGCCTGTGATCAAAGCAAAGTCTGAGGGCAAACCCTCTGCAGTTGTGTTGGTGGTGTTTTCATGACTGCTGAAGGGGAGATAGGGAATCTCCCTGCACCCCCTCACTCCTGCAGGTGGTTCCCATACATGGGAGAAATCCCAGTGAAGTTGGAGACCACACACAGGAGTCAGGACTATTTGTAGGAGAAAAGGTTTCCAGGATCAGCCACAGAGAGTATCGTTGGCTTGGCTTAATAACTGGCCTGTTGTCGCACAATGCAGCTCAAGTGTGCCACATTGTGTGGGACATCCTGCATCTGGCCCCAATTTTTAAGGCTGTCCTGCGACCCCACGCTGCCATCACACAGTATCAATTCAGCCGCTTGGCAAGTTTTCCTGGTTGCGAGCTGCACGGCTTGATGCTTGATATCACCACATCTTATGCTCCTCCAGGTGGCTGTGCTGCCCATGGGCCGAGGAAGGGGCAGCCAAGCGAGTGCACCACACCTTTCTGAGCTGCTCCCTAGTCACCTACTTCTCCAAGCAGTTGGGCCTGGAGCTGCCTGTGCTGGAACTGGGCTGGCCAGCCTTTTCCAGGGGCTCACACTGCAGACTCACGCAGCGGGCGGCACATTTCCAGCGCAGCTTTGGGGAAACCATCCACAGCTGCAAGGAGATAGCACGCAGGCACATCTGCTCCACTGGGGAGGTGAGTCCCCTGTCTGAGCTCTTCCCTGCAGCAAAGGGTAAAGCCCCATCCAGTTCCCTGCATGGAGCCATCCACGCCCCTTTTCTGTGGGCTGCTGTGATGGGGTGACTGTCCCACACTGGACTGTTTGGGGTTAATCAGGCAGCTGCATGAAAAGCAGCCAATAGGAAAGGGGCTCTGAGGAGCAGCCAATCAGGGTTGGGCAGGCCCATCTGAGAAGAGCTGCAGGGCAGAGCAAGTTCAGTAGCTGACTGGAGCTTGATGAGGGAACACCAGGCTCCTGGCCAGGCAGAAGGGAAATAGCACCCTGGACAGAGCAGTGCTGCTAGCAGTGACCGGGGATGGGGGAGCTAAAGATGGTGCCTGGTTGGCTGCAGGATTCACAGGCTGGGGCCCTGAGGCAAGGGCGAAGCGGGTGCTAAAGGCCGTGGGGAAGTGGCCCAGGGAAAGGAACGGAGGAGTCAGAGGGGACACAGCAAGTGGTGGCCATCTTCAGGGTCCCTGAGCCGGGACCCAGAGTAGTGAGCAGGCCTGGGCCCCCCCACACCTGCCACAGAGGAAGTGGCCAGACAATTGGTTGCAGTTGCCACTGAGGGAAGTGGCCGGACAGCAGACTGCAGTTCCCCCGGAACGGGGGAGAACAGAGCGTGACATGGCCATAGGGATGTGGCATGAAGAAGATGCCATGGTTCTGGGAGTGACGTGGGTCCTGGAGCAGAAGTGACGGCAGTGAGACTAATAATGAGCTAGCAGAGCTAATCCCCAGGACAGCCAGCAGAAGGCGCCGTGAGTGAACACCGTCACAGCTGCAAACTTGGATCTTGAAAACTGGAGTTGCAACGCTGCTCCCCCCGGGTCTGGTCAGCTAACTGCACAGCTCAGAGTGTAATGGTAAATGACGGGTTAACCCCAACATTACTTATTGTTTTATTGCATTATTTTAAAAGTGTCTTTAACATTTTGCTCTAGCAAAACCTGTGACATTCCTGGTTGAAGGTAAAACAGCTACTGCTGAAGACCAGCCTCTAAAAGAGGCAAGCTTTCATAATTCTCACCTTAGCATCTGCAGCATGCTCATAGTACACAGGATCATGTTGTATGTCAGTATAAGAAGTTTCTGGCTATTTGCATGAGTGTATGTATTTTTTTAAAACAAAAACAGTGTGTTCAATAAAAAAATGTGATGTCCCTCACTCCAGCGTCTGAGGGTTGAGAAAGATGCAGGGGAGCAGCAGGGGTATGTGATCCTCTCTTGCCATAAGTAAGCGGCCAGAGGAGATGAGGTAGCCCTAGCGAAGGCCAGAGGGGACTGTGGAATTTCAGAGCCCCGGCTTACAAGGGCCCGATTCTGCTCCAACAGTGCAGTAAATCACGAGCTCCCCCCTCTAGCCAGTATACCAGTGTGAAGCTGGTGTGAGATCAGAATCAAACCCAGAATATTTTCTCGTTCTTTAGAATAATACAGTGTTTTTTGTCCCTGGGTCCCATCCCAAGCAATGGGTGAGTTTCAAAGTATTTGTATATTTTGTGGCCTAGTGGCTTGTGCGGTAGACTGGAACTCAGGAGCCCTGGTTTCTAGTCCCGGTTCTGCTGGGTGACATTGGGCAAGTCACCTCTCTGCTCTATGCCTCGGTTTCACCATCTGTAAAGTGGAGATAGTGACTTTTGTAAAGCACTTTGAGATCGACTGATGATAAGAGCTAGGCATTATTATTACATTGTTCTCCTTCTGAGAGAAGCAACAAGCAAGACAGCGTACTAGGAGGATGAAGCAAGTGACCTGCCCTACTCTATCAGAGCTTCCTTACTAACAAACGCAGAGCCTGACAGGCTCTAGAACCCAGGAGAGGTTAGACCCACTCCAGGCATGTACCCCGGCACTTACACAAGCGGCCTTTGCGTGGCGATGATGTAATCAGGTTTGCCATTCTTGTAGACGAGTCTAGCGTTGGATTGGACCCACTTCCAACGATTTTCTTTTGTCAGGAGACGGAACACGGTCAGGCCGCTCTCGCCCGTTTTTATCACTGGAAAAGAGATGCCAAGACAATGCAGGGAGCGACACCCGGTCTGCAGAGGTGGATCCAGGGATGCAGAGCCCTGGTGTCACGAGGTACTGCGATTTCTGCAAGACCGAAGTGCCCTGGAGCACATGAGCCCTTCGATACAGACTGGCCCAGCTGTGCCGATCCAATCTGGTCCAATGTCACTCAAGGACAATTCCTCATTTTTCTCATTCATGACACCTATGCTAGTAATATTTGCATGTGTGTTTGTTTATTTGCTGACACTGTGGTGTTAAGTTATCTGGGAAGGGAGGGGGCAGAACAATTAGCTGTTTAAAGGAGTAGGGCCAGATCCTCAGCTGGAGTAAATAGGCATTTCTGATTTACACCACCTGAATATCTGGCCCATGTTCTTTATAAAAGCCATGTTAGAAAAATGATAGCGATTGAAGAGGTTACGTCAGACAAGACCCAGAGGTAATTTTACCCCCCCAAGCCAAATTAGAATGCCCACATGTGTGGGGCTGGGACCTGAGAGAAGGGGCAGATAAGGGTCACACTAACTGTGTCTTGTTTAATGAGGCCATTTAAACAATTAACCCTTTCTATATGGCTGCTTTTACAGAATACCCCTTCTTGCTATGGCTAAACTGTGCGTGGGGTTTCTTACTTGACTCCGTTTCTGTTACATGCAACGTGTTTTGGGTCAGATCCATCAGAGACAGACCTCTAGCGTGAGCATGACATATTGCACCGAGAAAGGACCCCTGAAGGGGCTCAAGTCACTTGGTGATGCTGGGTGAAATAACTGAACCAAGCTGGCTTTGGGGTCAGGAACCTGAAGTGGAAATTGTGTCCAACATCGCTGCGGTTCAGTCTGTGGATCGCCTCATGGGCTCCTGATCAGACAAGCAGGAGGCAAAGCCATGATTTGTCCAACAGATTCACAGTGCTTAACATCAACACCGTCCCTTCAGAAATCCTTCATTCAGTAATTAATCAGGCATTGCTCATGCCTTTACGAAGGCCAGGTCTTATTGCCTGTCCTCCTGACGTGGGACACTTGGCCGTGAGCTAGGGTTCCAGCCCCACTGGGCTGGGAAAAGAGATGCTCCTCTTCGCTCCATGTGGGAGGGTGAACCCTGAGCACCAGCGGACGCTGGAGCTCCTCATGCCAGCTCTTACCCTCCAAAGAGCTGAGCAGGTGCCCAGCACCCTCAATGCCCTTCTGAGCGCCTCACTGGGTCAGGCCCTGCTAATGGGCCGAGAATTGTCTGTAGGAACCCCAAACCCATCATGTGCAATGGAGAAGTTCCTGGGCCAGACTGGGTTCACAACGGGACAAGGAAGGATCCAGGCACCACCCCCATCGGCTCCTGCCTCATGCAGGGATGAGCCAAAGAGTAACCCAGCAGTCGTGTTCGCCAGAGCCTTGGCGGCACTGTGCAGCCCCACAGTAGCCCCAGTGCATCCCCCTTGCAGTCTGTGTTTGTAGGAAACCTCTGCAAGAAGGGAAGGCGGAGACATGGCCTGCACTCCTGGATGTGGTTATCTCCCACCAGTTCTTTCTGAGGGATGTTCTGAGCCCCCTGTACCAAGCCCAAGTAACAGGGCTTCGCAGGTGGCATTCCCGTGGTGACCGCTCCCATGTGACTGTGTACATGGACTACAGCAGCGGGCTCCAGGAATGGAATTTAAAAGGGAAGCTACCAGATTTCTGTTCCCCTGAAGCCCTTGGGACTGGTTCGCCAGCCAGGATGCCCACAGCCTTGCACAGGGACACAGAAGGGATGGACAGGGCTAAGAGGGTTACCTGCTGTGATGCTGCCAGGGCGATCCCTGAAAGGGAGCAGGGTGAGGGCAGAGCTGGCCAGGTCAGGGGGCAGCGCCTGCGGGTGGCAGAGCGTGTGCTGCTGTGGAGACCCTGGCAGGAGTTCTGGCTAAGTCAGACAGAGTCCCTCCAGCACACCAGTAGCTGCAAGAGCCAGACTCTTGTATAATGCACAACACGGCACAGAGAGGGGCTCGTCGGCTGGACATCCACCCCCATGCTGATAGGGGTGGCAGAGTGACCAAGCCAGAATAGGGCCCGGTCCCCAGGGTCACGTACTCCATAGCAAACTGAGCTGGTGGCTCCTGCCATGATCCCCGGGAATCTGAGGAGCACGCCGTGGGGGGGAAGGTTGGGATGGGGGGAAGGGGGATTTTTAACACTCTTACTTCGGACGTGATTCTCGGCACAGTGCAGCATGTCAGCGGCGTGGATGAACTGGTATCCGGTGCCGCGCACCTGCAGCTCCGCGTCCGTATAGCCCAGCACAATCTTCCCTCTGCGGGAGAAGAGCAGAGCACCGCGATTGCAGGGAGAGGCCAGCGGCCCGGCCTTCAAAAATCCAGCCACTGGGGAAAAGGTTTCTAGCAACACTCCACTCCCAGCTTATTTACAGGGCTGCAATGGGGACATCGCCTCATCCGCGGGGCAGACGGTCAGTAAGAGCCCCCCTGATAGGGGCCCCCCAGAGCCTGGATCTGGGCGCACAGGAGATAACAGCATTGCTCCCTCCCTCCCTGGAGCAGGTGGGTGAAGAATGGTTTTCCTCTGCGCTCTGTCTTCTACCACCCCACCATGGGCCAGAGCAGAGAGTAGGGTTAGCAGGCCGAATACCCAGTCGAAAAGGGACCCCAACGGCTCTGGTCAGCGCTGCTGGCCCGACTGTTAAAAGTCCGGTCGGTGGCGCAGCGGGGCTAAGGCAGGCTCCCAGCCTGACTCCGCATGGCTCCTGGAAGTGGTGGCATGTCTCCTCTCTGGCTAGGAGTGCAGGGGCGGCCAGGGGGCTCTGTGCGCTGCCCCAGCTCCAAGCGCTGGCCCCACAGCTCCCATTGGCCGGGAACTGGACCAATGGGAGCTGCGGGGCAGTGCCTGTGGATGGGGCAGTGTGCAGAACTGCCTGGCTGCACCTATGCCTAGGATCCGAAGGGGGGACATGCCACCACTTCCAAGAGCCACCTGAGGTAAGTGCCACCCGGAGCCTGCACTCCTAACCCCCTCCCATGCCCCAACACTGAGCCCCCACCCGCCCACTGAACCCCCCCAAAGAGAGGCTTAGCTAGGCCTCCTCAGCTGACTGTGTTCATAGAGTCATAGAATCACAGACTATCAGGGTTGGAAGGGACCTCAGGAGGTCATCTAGCCCAACCCCCTGCTCAAAGCAGAACCAATCCCCAACTAAATCATCCCAGCCAGGGCTTTGTCAAGCCTGACCTTAAAAACCTCTAAGGAAGGAGATTCCAACACTTCCCTAGGTAACCCATTCCAGTGCTTCACCACCGTCCTAGTGAAAAAGTTTTTCCTAATATCCAATCTAAACCTCCCCCAATGCAACTTGAGACCATTACTCCTTGTTCTGTCATCTGCTACCGCTGAGAACAGTCTAGATCCATCCTCTTTGGAACCCCCTTTCAGGTAGTTGAAAGCAGCTATCAAATCCCCCCTCATTCTTCTCTTCTGTAGACTAAACAATCCCAGTTCCCTCAACTTCTCCTCATAAATCATGTGCTCCGGCCCCCTAATCATTTTTGTTGCCCTCCTCTGGACTCTTTCCAATTTTTCCACATCCTTCTTGTAGTGTGGGGCCCAAAACTGGACACAGTACTCCAGATGAGGCCTCACCAATGCCAAATAGAGGGGAATGATCACATCCCTTGATCTGTTGGCAATGCTCCTACTTATACAGTCCAAAATGCCATTAGCCTTCTTGGCAACAAGGGCACATTGTTGACTCATATCCAGCTTCTCGTCCACTGTAACCTCTAGGTCCTTTTCTGCAGAACTGCTGCCTAGCCACTCGGTCCCTAGTCTGTAGCAGTGCATGGGATTCTTCCGTCCTAAGTGCAGGACTCTACACTTGTCCTTGTTGAACCTCATCAGATTTCTTTTGGCCCAATCCTCTAATTTGTCTAGGTCCCTCTGTATCCTATCCCTACCTTCCAGTGTATCTACCATCCTCCCAGTTTAGTGTCATCTGCAAACTTGCTGAGAGTGCAGTCCACACCATCCTCCAGATCATTAATGAAGATATTGAACAAAACCAGCCCCAGGACCGACCCTTGGGGCACTCTGCTTGATACCGGCTGCCATCTAGACATGGAGCCGTTGATCACTACCCGTTGAGCCTGACGATCTAGCCAGCTTTCTATCCACCTTATAGTCCATTCATCCAGCCCATACTTCTTTAACTTGCCGGCAAGAATACTGTGGGAGACCGTATCAAAAGCTTTGCTAAAGTAAAGGAATAACACATCCACTGCTTTCCCCTCATCCACAGAGCTAGTTATCTCATCATAGAAGGTAATTAGGTTAGTCAGGCATGACTTGCCCTTGGTGAATCCATGCTGACTGTTCCTGATCACTTTCCTCTCCTCTAAGTGCTTCAGAATTGATTCCTTGAGGACCTGCTCCATGATTTTTCCAGGGACTGAGGTGAGGCTGACTTCCCCAGCCTTCCTCCTTCCTCCTTCCCTTTTTTAAAGATGGGCACTACATTAGCCTTTTTCCAGTCATCCGGGACCTCCCCCGATCGCCATGAGTTTTCAAAGATGATGGCCAGTGGCTTTGCAATCACATCCGCTAACTCCTTTAGCACCCTCGGATTGCAGTGCATCCGGCCCCATGGACTTGTGCTTGTCCAGCTTTTCTAAATAGTCCTGAACCACTTCTTTCTCCACAGAGGGCTGGTCACCTCCTCCCCATAGTGTGCTGCTCAGTGCAGTAGTCTGGGAACTGACCTTGTTCGTGAAGACAGAGGCAAAAAAAAGCATTGAGTACATTAGCTTTTTTCACATCCTCTGTCACTAGGTTGCCTCCCTCATTCAGTAAGGGGCCCACACTTTCCTTGACCTTCTTCTTGTTGCTAACATACCTGAAGAAACCCTTCTTGTTACTCTTAACATCCCTTGCTAGCTGCAACTCCAAATGTGATTTGGCCTTCCTGATTTCACTCCTGCATGCCTGAGCAATATTTTTATACTCCTCCCTGGTCATTTGTCCAATCTTCCACTTCCTGTAAGCTTCTTTTTTCTGTTTAAGATCAGCAAGGATTTCACTGTTAAACCAAGCCGGTCACCTGCCATATTTACCATTCTTTCTACACATCGGGATGGTTTGTTCCTGCAACCTCAATAAGGATTCTTTAAAATCCAGCCAGCTCTCCTGGACCTTTCCCCCTCATGTTATTCTCCCAGGACTCTCTCATTTTTACCATATAATTATAAAATAAATCAACGGGAATATAAATATTGTACTTCATTTCAGTGTATAGTATATAGAGCAGTATAAAAACGTCATTGTATGAAATTTTAGTTTGTACTGACTTCGCTGGTGCGTTTTCTGTAGCCTGTTGTAAAACTAGGCAAATCTCTAGATGCGACTCCCTGGAAGACCTCTGCGTACCCCCAGGGTATATGTACCTCTGGTTGAGAACCACTGACATAGGACAGTTAGTATGATAGATGGAGAGATACCTATCTCGTATAACTGTAAGGGACCCCGAAAGGTCATTGAGGCCAGCCTCCTACCTTCACTAGCAGGAGCAAGTACTGATTTTGTTTTAGATCCCTAAGCGGACCTCTCAAGGATTGAACTCATAATCCTGGGTTTAACAGGCCAATACACAAACCACTGAGCTATCCCTAGTCCAGCTAGTACTTCAGTCACGAGTGACATAAATTGGGGGATAGTTCTCATCTCAAGTGAGGGTGGATGAAGGGCCAAATCACATAAGCCTATGTCCTCAAATGTATTTAGGCACCTACCACTCACTGATTTCAATGAGCACTAGACACAAAAATATCTTTGAGGCTGTGGAGGGAGGAGGGATAGCTCAGTGGTTTAAGCATTGTCCTGCTAAACCCAGGGTTGTGAGTTCAATCTTTGAGGGGGCCATTTAGGGAACTGGGGTAAAAATCTGTCTGGGGATTGGTCCTGCTTTGAGCAGGGGGTTGGACTAGATGACCTCCTGAGGTCCCTTCCAACCCTGATATTCTATGTGGGCCATAGTCATCATACAACTGCTGGTTCCTGCTTTAAGAACTGTAGTGCTGCAGATCCAGGTTAGGGTGCATTTGCAGAGAAGCCTAGCCAGCCCCTTGCTATCTGTGCCTGACTCTAACCCATGGGACCAGCCTTTCACTTCCATTAGCAAGGATATTGACTACTACAGTTAGCCAAAAAATGAACTACTGGTTTTGAAAATGTTGTTTCCATGCTGAAGGATTCTAAATAGACCCCCTCCCCTTTTATTTTTAAACTATTTTTTAATTTTTCCACCCACCCAACTGAGTTTAATCAAAAACATTCCTGACCTGGTTAACAATACTTTTCATTTATCAAAAATTGTGTTCCCAGTAACTGAAAATCCTGAATAGCGATTTGGATAACAATTTCAGCGTGATCGATAAACCGTACCCTGCCCCAGAAAAACCGTCATCTTCCTCCCCAAAACCCTTTCTGTTAAAAAGAATTTCAACTAGCTGTATTAACCACATCTTAAAAAGTAAACATAAACCGTTCCTAAGTCATTATTATTAATTTATTTGCAGTTCAGTAGCTCCTCAGAGGTCCCATCATGGACCAGGACCCCCCTGTGCTAGAAGCTGCACAAACACGGAACACACAGACAGCACCTGCCTCTGCAACATGCATCTATCTGACTAACGTGAGTCTTGCTTGCAAGAGTATTTGGGGAAAATCTTGTTTAACAGCACATGCCAACATGATCCGTCCCAACTTCTGTACTTACTTGGCATCACACGCCACGGGGGTGAAGTCCAGTTTGTGCTTGGTTCTGAAGATCATGTTTTTGGTTCTGATCTCCAGGATGGAGGGGGGCTGCAAGGGAGTGGAGATGGCAAAGAGAGCCAGCTGGGGAGGCAGCGGGGACCCATCCTCAGACCTTTTATTCTGGCCGGGGAGAAATTTCAACCTGCCCTGAAGGTTTAAAGCCTTGAAAAGAAAAATTAGGAGTCACTTCTGGACCCTGAATCGGGCTGTTAACTTCAGCAATGAAAGGCCTGTTTAAAGCAAATGCAGCATTTGTTAATAAGTAAATGCAGCTGAACAAGCCAGGCCGAGGGGAAGAAGAGAAAAGCCAGTGAACACTGCATCATCGGGGCTGTATGCTATTCAGAGGAGATTTTCAGAGGTGCTGCTGGAGCACACAGTGATAAAAATCCCCTGGCACTGAGTCTGGACCCCTCCTCCCTCACTGGGCCTCAGACCCTGAAAGTCTACACTGCAATTTAATAGCCCCACAGCCCGAGTCAGCTGACCCAGGCCAGCTGTGGCTGTGCTGCTGGTCTTATCGCAGTGTAGCTGTACCCTGTGGCAACAATCATAGAATATCAGGGTTGGAAAGGACCTCAGGAGGTCATCAAGTCCAACCCCCTGCTCAGGGCAGGACCAACCCCAAACAGATTTTTGCCCCAGATCCCTAAATGGCCCCCTCAAGGATTGAATTCACCACCCTGGGTTTAGCAGGCCAATGCTCAATACCACTGAGCTATCCCTCCCCCCCCAGTGCCATAAACCAGGTTAGACCCATGCTGTAAGGTCAGGACACAGGTAGGACCTGTTCTTGTGATCTCTATTCATGTGAGCTCACAAACAAAATTACAGTCGAGACAGCTTCGGTGGTGGCAGGACACAACCCATCCCACCCAAAACCTTACAAGTCAGGAACCGAGAAGTAAAGAGGAAAGACTTATGAATTTCCTTCCCTCTTCCTACTGCCTGCAGCATTGTTGCTAACACACTCCAGTTCTCCCATCTCCAAACACACACCCAAAAGCAATCCGTTCCCCACCTTCATCAAATGTTCATCCAATGCAAACCCAGAGGGAGCAGCCAAGCTGCTGAGCTGTTTGATAGGTGTGAGAGGCAGGGATGGGCCTCAGTTAGTTCTCTGACTGCATATTTTATTGCCCTGGAAAAATTACTGGAAATAAATACAGGAAGTGACATTACCAGGCAGCTGGAAGGAAGTGCCTAGCAGGAAGGGTCACCACTCACTTCCCCATTTCCGCGACTTAACATCTTCAACCACACATGTAGGATTTCAATAATTGTTGTTGTTTTTTTAAATGTTGTTTTTTTACTCTGTTGAGTTATTTGATTTTACTGTAGTGCCCCAATACCTATTAGGGTTTTTTTTTTAAATGTCATGAATATAAAGGAAAGGGTAGCATAAAATCCCTCCTTGGCAGCTGTACTAAATCACTTAACCTGTAAGGGGTTAAGAAGCTCAAATAACCTAGTTTGCACCTGACCAGAAGGACCAATGAGGAAAGAAGACACTTTCAAATCGGGGGGCGGGAGGGAGGATTTGTTTGTGGCTCTCTTCGTTTGTTCCCTCTCCTGACAGAGGGAGAGACCAAGCAGGTACAGCATCTCCTGAAAACATACCTGGAACGATCCATCCAAAATTACAGAAATTGTAAGTAGGGCAAGGAAATGCATTAGGTTATCGTTTGTTTTGGCTTGTGAACTTTCCTGTGCTACAGAGGTAGTTTTATTCCTGTTTTTGTAACTGTGAAGCTAGTCCAGAGGGGAATCCTCTGTGTTTTAAATCTTTTTATTACCCTGTAAAGTTACCTTCCATCCTGGTTTTGCAGGTGTGATTATTTTACTTTTTTCTTTATAATAAAGTTCTTCTTTTAAGAACCTGATTGATTTTAGTGTCCTAAAGATAAAGGGTCTGGTCTGTACTCACATTGCTAAGGCAGTTAGTTGGTATATTATTCTCAAGCCTTTCCAAGAAAGGCTTTTGGGGGAATAGGGATTCCAAGTGACCCTCCCCTAATTTTTGTGTAAATCACTTGGTGGTGGCAGCAATACCATCCAAGGACAAGTAAGGAATTTGTGCCTTGGGGAAGTTTTTAGCCTAAGCTGGTAGAATATAAGCTTAGGGGGTCTTTCATGTGGGTCCCCACATCTGTACCCCAGAGTTCAGAGTGTGGGGGGGGAACCCTGACAGCAGCCCATATTAATGTGCTTGTTAAAATGAAATCAATTCTGAATATAAAAACCAAACCATCACCACGTGCAATTACTCAGAATCTGTGCATGTGATTTTCATTTTCCTCCTAGTGGAAACAGTTAAAAATACTTGGTTAATTTCGTTCAACAGCAGATTCTGTTGTGTACTAACTTTCACTCAAATAGTTTATTTTGTTAGGTAATCCCCAAGAAGCAGTTGCGAAGCAACATCATCTATTCCCCAAGGACAGTAACTATTATACACAGAGTGTAGCTGTGTCTAAACCCAGCAGGTCCCAGAGCCAAATGGTTATACTGCAGCTTTATAATCCCACAGCCTGAGACCCATAAGCCCTGGGGGGTTGAGCTGTAGTGTCGACATATCCTTAGAAAAAGGTGCGATTTCAGCTCCTCGTCTCCTTTTGCCCACTTCTCGCTCTTTTTTAGCCTTCCTTGGCAATGACAGTGTTTGTGCTGCAGCAGATTTGTTATCAAACTAAAATTTGATAGGTTTGCCTTGATGCCCATATATTCCCTTATGATTAAATGTCATAAATTCTCGTACAGACAAATACTCCTGCTGTACAACTGATCCTCATGGGATGACTCCTAGAGTAGCAGCCATGTGGCCAAAGCACTAATCTGAGCGTGTGCTAGATTTCTTGTAATAGGAAGGCAAAGGGAAGTGAGACAATGCAGTGAAAAGTCACCAAAAGGGGTGAGTTTTTTTTCTCTCTCTTTAGTCCCTCTGTATCTCTTTGTTTCTAATGAATGAGCAGACAGGCCTCTGTCGAGACACAGGGGAAAATTTGCTGTCACTTTCTTACAGGGCCTGATTCAAAGACCACTGGAGGAAATCAGAAACCCTCCATTGCCTTCAGTGGACTATGAGTCAGGCCCACCTTGACTTTCCTGAGTAGAACCATGCTCCTCACTGCTCCCATCTTTCCTTTATCAGGCTGTTCTGTGCTCACGGAGCCCTGGTGTTGCAAGTGTGAGTCCACTGATCTGGTGTGTCCCTGCAGTACTGTTGCTAATCTCCTGCTTTGTTGTAACCCCTTGGCAGTCACGTGGTCTGTTCTTTGAGGAGGAAAGTTCGCACAGCTTCCTATCTGCGCTTCCTCCCTTTCACACATGCTCCCTCTGGCACACACACACCCAACCAAAGCGTCGACATCCTTAAAGCCCGTCCTGGTGGAAATAAATGGGACCCGCGCTGCGGTGATCTTGCATTGTCAGAAAATACTGCACTAAAATAAAGGCCTCAGCCATGTCTCCCTGTAGCTGAAAATCCAGGCCATCTAATGTAAACATCGCAGGGCTGGCTCCAAAGGTGGCTTCACCAAACAGATTGCTTGTCACACACTAGGCACCCAAACCTTTCTACCAGGCACCTTGTTGAGGACAGGGGGTTAGGGACTGCGTGCTGGCTGGGAAAAAAGCCATTCCAGGCTCAGGAATAGCGCATACACACATGCCCCTGGCCACAGCAGTCTGGTTTACTGGGAGAATAGGGATAAGGGAACCCCAGGAAAAAGCACCACCCACGAGATGCAACTATCACCCCAATGGAGCTCAGCGTATTATTATTGCAAGTGAATCCAGTGCTGGTGAACTGTGCTGGACTAACATTGGTGTTTGACATCCACTCTCCACAGAGCAGATGGCGCAAGCTAACTCAGTCTTTCACTAATATGTCTCAGGCCACTAGGGGTTAAGAGGACAGCACAGTCACCATCTCTGGCTTCCACTTAGGCACAAGCTGTGAGGTTGACTTTTCACACCTGCCTGCGGGCTGAAGCCACAGTGTGAAGTGCATTTAGACATCACATGGATGACTTTTGGTCACTACCAACAGCAGCTGCATTTGAATTGGTGACCAAGCAGTGAAAAGCTTCTCAGCCTATTACCAGTCCCCTGAGCCAACCAGCCCTCTTAGCATTTTGCATGAGGCATTCACCATCCTTCACACTTTCGCCCCCAGGCAGTTTCACCTAGAGCCAGACCCTCATGCAGAACTGACCCCGAGTGGTGCTTTTTGTGTGCAAAGTCCTTGCTTTGGCAAATCTCCTACCGATCACTTAAAAAGCTTAGAGGTGATCTGAAAACATAACAGTAATGGAGTTTGTGCACTTGATAGAAGCTTTATGATGTAAAAAAGCTTTATTTTCCTGGAAGTGATTCTAAAGCATCTTTGTTTTTGTGACAGATATTTAACTCAGATGCCTGACAAACAGATTGGAGAAAAGCACGGTTGTTAAAGAGTCTATCCCTCTGCTCCTTCCGTTAAGGGTTGAATGAGCTCCCAATCTGCATTTCTGGGTCCTCCCCAGGAGAACTCAGGCACTGTGGGAACATCAGACCTTGTTTTCCATTTTGCAAGTCATTTTTAAAATCACCATTCCAGAATGCCACTGAAAACTGAATGCCATTTTGTTGTTTACTGAAATTTAACACGAGCAAATTCTCCTGTTAGAATCCAGACAAACCCCTCAATTTAGGAGACAATGGTCCTGCCCCTGATGTATGGTGAATCACACTATGTACTATTTGGGGGGGGGGGAAGCAGGGCCAAAGGGGAAGTTAAGCCAGTTTACACCCTCCACTCCAGATCCAGGGGTCAGCCAAGGATGGGGCCGTTCACTGGATGCCCCGCTTTGAGCTGCTGCCTGTGCCCCGTAAGGGTCATTTCAATAGCTGCAGATCCCCAGGGTGAATAGAGGGGAGATACACTGGTGTTCGGCAGGTTTGCCCTGATAGATCAGGGGCCACAATCTGTCCCCAATGAAATTAGAAGTGGAAGTATGGCACTTTAGCTGCTACACTAGCCTTGTTCTTAAATTGTCCCACCGCAGGTGCAGCTCCATTGGTGGTAGCATAGCAGAAGAGCTAGTGTGTACAGAGGACACTGCCTGACCCTGTTCTGAACACTTCTAGACGATGAGGTGCTCAAAATGCCAGTGGTCTGTCTAGACCAGTGCTCCCGCTGGCAGAGATGTGCTAGAAGTGGAAGGGGGACTGAAGAACAAGGCTGGAGAAGGCCTTTGTTCCAGACAGTCAAGGACTGACTGAAGGCTCAAAGGAAAACAGGCCTGCAACAGAAACAGCCTCCTGGTTCTGGTAGGGAGATGCAGCCCTGGCAGAGCTGTGCCAAGGGTCTGTGCGGGACCCCTTCTGCAACCAGTGGGGGGTGAGGATACTCAAGGAGCAGTCCTGCACTGTCACACTAATGAGATGCTGATGCAAGTTCTTACTCACCAGGAACCCAGATGAATTATCCAGGAGGCAGCGGAATCGGCACACAAAGCTCCTTTCGAGGAAAGAGGAGTTCTCAGGAGGCAGCTGGCCGGGCTTGTAAGTGATAACGGAGGAGCTGATACTTTTTTCACCTAAAGGATGCGGGTGAAAGGAGAGCCCAAATTAACACACACGGAAGTGTGGAGATTCCCGACGAGGCTGGAACGGTGACAACATGCATCAGCAGCTGTATCTATCAAAGGTATTGCAAAAAAAAAAAATCTCCTCTTGATGGACACACTTGGTTCCTTCTGTCTAATTAAACGCCCCATACAAAAACCTGCATGTACATGAAGAACCGGACACTTCAAAGTGAAGCACTGAAAAGTCATGAAAGTTCCAGTGGCCTGCTCCGGGTGCAGCCCTGAGTTACAAGATCTCTCTCTATCGTTAACACAGGACCTCTGCCTTATTCAGTGCACAAGCTGGACACTGCACAGAGAATGAGGCAGCTGTGAACTGAAACAATGAAGAATTTGCCGTCTGTGAGACCTGAACATTACTGCAGCTGAGGCTTGAACCGAGTGGGGTCTGTAGGCAGCAGCTCTAGCGGACGATCTGTCTCCCCCATTGGCCAGGGCCAAACTCCTCTTGACAGCATCTGCCCAGGACTAACAGGAATACAACAGCATTTTTAAAGCAACTATCTTCTGGAAGCAGTGAAGAGTCAAAGGACACTCCAGGTGGTCTTTGGGCTGGTAACAGAACCAGCCGGCCAGCCAGCAGGCTCTATGGACGGTGCCAACTCCCTTTCTTTAGTCTCCTGCACCTACCATCAGGCGATGGTTCGCTCTCAGGAGTGGGAGGCGGGTTAAGGGCCCAGTGAAGATTGCGCCTGAATTCCTGCTGGTCCTCGGTGTGGATCAGCTCAAACACGCTCTGGTGCATGACATCTGTCTGGAAGGAAGCAGAGTGACAGGTGAGTCCAACTGTCCGTCCTGGGCACCTGCAGCTACCACACAGCTGGGGAGAGCCTGGCCTCTCGCCATCGGAACTGCCACACACACAGTGGACCAGATTTCACCACCCTCACTCCCAGGGGCAGTTCCAGGGCCTGCAAAGAGTCTCACCCTATTGAGATCAATGGGGCTCCCTATGGAGTAAGGTACCATATCCCGGGCCTGAGCCCGCTCTGCTGATGTCAGTGGGAGCTGGGTCAGGCCAGGGTGGGTAAAGGTGGCCTGCAGGGTGCAAGGAATGATTTTGATCTGTTTTATGGGCTCGTTCTTTATTGAGCTAAATTCTGCATCCCTCACCTCCATGGCATAGCCAGCAGCCCCTGCAAAGGCAATGGAGCTACCTGTTGGAGCCAGAACTCCGCAATGGACCCAATTCTGCCACCCTTACTCACCGTGGGGAAGGACCTGGTTCTTCAGTGGAACCATTTGGGGCATAAGAGTGAGTCAGTGTGGAAGAAACTGATTCAAGTATCAGCGGTGCAGAATCGAGTCTAATCTGCTCAAAGAATCCCAAGAAAACAGATCACCATGATTAATTCTGCCTTTACCCTGTCATCACCTAAAGGGTGAGATTGTGGCTCTGGACTCCACTACACAGGTGTGCAGTCACAAGCTATCCCAGTGTCATTAATATGCAGTGTGTTTGCTGGCAAGATGAAGCATGTTTAAGCAGAAAAAGCAAGCAATGCTGGACCAATAAGGTAGCTCTGATAAGAACAAAGGCCAAAAAAGGTTTGTAATGAAGTCACACATCATAACAAAGATCTGACCTCATTTCCCTGCATGAGGCAGAAGAACAAACAAACATGATTTACAAAGAGCAGATCAGAATAATAAAATCAGAAACACTGCCCTCACTGGCGTTTTGACACGCTGTCATTCACTAGAATTTGCTGCAACTTGCCAACTAAATTAATCCTCAAGATCTTCACATTTAAAATAATAAGACAACTTCTGAATGATGAAATATAAATAAGGTTTAGAATGCTAGAGCCTCATACTGGAGTCATTTAGCTAAGTCCCCTGAACATTATAGGAGCTTTGTACTGGTTATATTTCAGTTTATTATAATGGGTTTTTTTTAAATGAAAGGACGTTCTGCATATTGAAAGAAACATTCTTAAAGCAATTTGACACCTCTGCAGCTGATTTATGCAGATGCTGTACAGTACTTAGATTATTTTGATACCAGTAGTACTGAATTGATTACTTAGAAAAAAATGTCAAACTGAGAAAAACAGCACTAAATCTGTTCCATTGCCTGCAATAATGCAGAGCTATTAATAGATGTCAACGTCACTTATTTTTGAAATTCATAAAGAAAACATTGCAGATACCGTCAGAGACTAGCGTTCAAGACACTTTGCCATGATGGATACAGCTGAGGACTGGGAATCAAGAAATCGGAGTTCTAATCCTGGCTTTGCTACTGTGAGTCCTTGGGCAAATCACTTTACTTCTTTGGCTCAGTTTCTCCATCTGCAAAATTGAGCTACTAATGCTTACTTTGGGATATATAGAGAATGAGAAGCACTATATATAAGAGTGAAGTGCTTTATTTGACTTCCCTACAGGTTAAGGCAGGCAAGTCATTATCTACTTCCCACACACAGTTACTGCAATTGCACGCCTCAGGTATCTGTGCACAGCAAAGACCAGTGCTGGAGATTTGGATGTGCAATTACAGGATCCAATCCTACCATAGCCTGAAGGCACAGTCCAGTGGTGACTGGAGGTCAACTTGTCCTGCATGGCCTCAGTAAGGTCTTCTATGACAAGCCTGCCAATATTTACCTATCTAGATATTTATAAGGCTTCCATCCCCATGGTATTTGAATACCTCTCAGTTACTGACATATTTATCCTCACAACACCCCTGTGAGGTAGATGGGGAAGTGAACTCAGGTTTTCTGTGCCTCAGGTCAGTGCTTTAAACCACAAAAGACCATCCAAAAGAGCTTCGGCCTTCTATCGGTTTGACGAAACGTACAAGGCAGATGGAGCCAGCAGAGAGCACAGTGCTGGATGCCACAGCTGAGGAAAGGAAGAAGTCTCCATGCTGGCATTCCTTGCAGGTGAAGAAATCAGCTGTGAGGCTAGCCTGCCAGCCTGATAGCATGAGGATCTACACAAGATCCCATCAAATGGATCTGGCAAAGCAGAGGAGAAAAGTCCTACTGTGTGATTAGAAGATTATGGGTTCACTGCAGGATTCCCTATTTTCCTGGCAAAGGGAACATTCCCTCTTTAAGGCTATCCCAGTTAAACTGATTGAAACTATAGTAAAGAACAGAATTATCAGACACCTAGATTAACATGATTTGAGGGGGAAGAGTCACCATAGTTTTTGTAAAGGGAAATCATGCCTCACCAATCTACTAGAATTCTTTGAGGGGGTCAACAAGCATGTGGACAAGGGGGATCCAGTGGATATAGTGTACTTAGATTTTAAGAAAGCTTTTGACAAGGTTCCTCACCAAAGGCTCTTAAGCAAAGTAAGTAGTCATTGGATATGAGGGAAGGTTCTGTCATGGATTGGTAATTGGTTAAAAGATAGGAAACAAAGGGTAGGAATAAATGGTCAGTTTTCAGAATGGAGAGAGGTAAACAGTAGTGTCCCCCAGGGGTCTGTACTGGGCCCAGTGCTATTCAACATATTCATAAATGATCTGGAAAAGGGGTAAATAGTGAGGTGGCAAAATTTGCAGATGATACAAAACTACTCAAGATAGTTAAATCCAAAGCAGATTGAAGAGCTACACAAAACTCTCAAAAATCTCACAAAACTGGGTGACTGTGCAACAAAATGGCAGATGAAAATCAATTTTGATAAATGCAAATAATGCAAATTGGAAAATATAATCCCAACTACTGATATAAAATGATGGGGTCTAAATTAGCCATTACCACTCAAGAAAGATCTTGGAGTCATTCTGGATAGTTCTCTGAAAACATCCACTCAATGTGCAGCGGCCATCAAAAAAGTGAACGAATGTTGGGAATCATTAAGAAAGGGATAGATCATAAGACAGAAAATATCACATTGCTTCTATATAAATCCATCATACGCCCACATCTTGAATACTGCGTGCAGATGTGGTTGCCACATCACAAAAAAGACATATTGGAATTGGAAAGTAAATAAGTAAGTGTTATTTCCTCCTTCTCATAACACAAGAACTAGGGGCCACCTAATGAAATCAATAGGCAGCAGGTTTAAAACAAACAAAAATAAATATTTCTTCACACAACGCACACTCAGTCTGTGGAACTCTTTGCCAGAAGATGTTTGTGAAGGCCAAGATCATAACAGGGTTCAAAAAAGAACAAGATAAATTCATGGAGGATAGGTCCATCAATGGCTATTAGCCAGGATGGGCAGATGGTATCCCTAACCTCTGTTTGCCAGAAGCTGGGAATGGGCAACAGGGGATGGATCACTTGATGATTCCCTGTTCTGTTCATTCCCTCTGGGGCACTTGGCATTGGCCTTTGTTGGAAGACAGGATACTGAGCTAGATGGACCTTTGGTCTGACCCAGTATGGCCATTCTTATGTTCCCACAAAACATTTTGAAGAAAACAGAAGTTTTTCCATTTTTTGTCAGAACAGTTTTTGCAAAATGTTTCCAGGTTTCACTGAAAAACCTGAAACCCATTGGCTGTCAGCTATTTCCCATGTGAGAGGATATGTTTTACCAGCTAAACCAAAAAAGAAAGTCAAAGGCCAAAGAGAAACCATGTTAAAAAGTGATGGAACATCCTACTAACCTGGTGAAATCCAAGATAGTCTTGAATCGTGTGCGAGGAATAAAATATCAACCCTTCAGACGTCACCACCAGCACAAAGCCATTAAGAGCCTAGGAGAGAGGGGGACAGAGTGAGCACCAGAACTTAGCTCCCAACCCAATACCACTGCATGTGGATGGAAACCAAGAGAGTCGAGAGGTCAGGTTACCCTATGACAGCTTTCTGATGGTCAGCTGCTAGTGGGGATAAGAAAGTGGTGAGGGTAGGACAACAGCGTAGACAGTTGTGAGAGACACCCTAGGAACTGTTGCTGCTGGGGACGTAGAGAAATAAGGATTTATAGTCAGGCCCAAACGATCGGAAGGGGGAAGGAGTTGTTTTCTGAAAATCCGAGAGGGCGGGTGGACAAGGAATGCTAGCCACAGGGAAACATGGTTCTAGAGATTAGCTACATGCAGAAAGGTGCAGGATTTGATCTCTTGTTAACACTATACATGAACTAGATATTAGTGACATTGGCTGCTATCAGCTGGCCATGTCCTGGAGGCACCATGGTAGGAGTGGGCCTGGAGGAGGACAGGCTAGTTTGGGGAAGGCATTCCATGCATGAGGGGAGGCTTGGCAGAAAGCGGGGAGGTGCTGCTGGGGAAGCAGACAAGTGAGCAATACAGGCTGGCATGGCAGGCAGGGCTGGAGCAGTGAAGCATTACATTTTCAGTTGACGCAGGGCAAGCATGAGGGGATAACAGACAGGCTGGCACGTGGGAGTGGACAGCGAGTGAAGGGTCCGTTTGTAAAGCATCGTCTTAAAGGTGGCAGCTGAAGCCACGTAGGGGGGCCAGATCACCTAGAGACAGGGTGCACCAGGGGAGCAGCAAGGGGCTACGCACAGAGCCCTGAGGGACCCACCCAAAGTGACTGCTGTTCCATTAAATAGGGTTTGATTGATCTATTCAAACAACACGCGAGTGGACAGACACATTCAGTTACAAAACCACTGAGCTAGCTCAGCACTGGCTCGATGGACTGTGGCTTCCCTTCGCCAGTGCTGAGAGATCAGAGAGACTGCAAAGAACTGCTCAGTGTCTACAGACAGATGTAGCCCCATGTGACATCCTATTACCCTTCTTTCTCCAAAATATCTCCCTGGACAGCCTGCTGGCTACCTCTGCTTTCTCTTAGTGCACAGACACAATGTGCAACAGCAACACATAGAAACAGGCAGTTAGGGGAAGTCTTTCCAATGTCATCTTCTCTGCTACAATTACCCTGAACTGTTCCTCCTAGACCTACCTCTCCGTGCTATAGGTGAGGGGAAAGCATCACTCATTTTGCACAGTTCATAACTTTGAAAGTCAGTTCTTACCACATAGAAACTGTAAATCATGCTTGAAAGTAAATACCATGGGCCAGACCCTCCAACCACCTCCAATCAGTTGCTTTGCACTGACCTAAAGGGGCTGTTGGGGATTCTCCGGAGGCAGAGGAATCCCCAGGTGGTGATAAACTGGGACATTCAGACCTCCAACATGCAGGGCACAGCTGAATGTCTCCTGATCCCTGATTGGTGGAATGGTCTCTAGAGAACGTTACTGTGGACGTAACTTAGAGCAGCTCTTAGGCTGCTGTAAGTTACACCAGGGTTGAACCAGCAGGAGGAGCAGAAAGGTGGCTTAGTTCCACTCCTCTCAGGTCCTGATCCCAGCACTGTTCTTATGGCCCCATATGTTTAGCGCCTAATGCTGGGATAATTACTTTGCCTAAAAGAGACGTATTTGTGATACCGTCAGGAGGGAGGAGAGATTGTAAACCAGTTTGTATTCCCCTTTAACACTAGTTTAACAACAACAAAAAAAATCTCTAAAATAAGTACACATTTGGTTTACACACAGCACGTTGAAGCTATTTCAGTCCTGGGGGAATTCTGTGCCGCTGTGCATGCAGAATTCATGTCCCCCTGCAGATTTATTTTCTTCCCCGCAGAAAATTATGGGGAAACAAAAGGGAAGCCGCAAGAGCAGTCACATGTCAGCGTGGTTTCTGGCGCCCGGAGCAGCCGGTGGAGAGGTAAATCTCCGTGGGGGTGGGGCAAGGCTGGAGATGCCCATGGGTGCATTTTGGGGCAACAGGGGGGCATAGCCCCCTCAGACAGAGGCGAGGCATGCAGGGGGAAATGTGGGGTTATGTGCCACTGTCTCCATCCCCATTTCTGTGAGTGCAGAGCTGCCCGGGTGAAGGAGGGGTCTGCTACAGCTAGCTGACTCTGCCACTGGATGCTGTCTCCTGGTCCTAGTGCTGGTTTTCTCCCCTTTGTGCACTGGGAGCAATTCTGTTTTCTGTACAATGGGGAGTGCCTACGGTGGGTCAGGGCAAGGAGGGAGGACATGGGAAAGAGGCAGTGGGGAAGGAAGGGGGGATAGGATAGGGCAGGGGGAGGTGGATGGGGAGGGGAGGAAGAGGGAATGGGGGAGAGGCAGTGGGGAAGGGGATAGGGTAGAAGTAGGAGCCCAACATGCAGTGTCCTCTCAGCCACCCTCACGAGCCCTCTGCACCCAGACCCCCCACCCCACTGAGCCCCAATCAGCTGCACCTGGATCCTACCCCACAGGCCCCACTCCCCCAGCACCCAGACCTCCTGCTGAGCCCCAACCACCTTCACCCGTAACCCCCCACCCTGTGCATCCAGATCCCCCACAGAACCCTCTCACCCCACCCCTGGATCCCCCCACACTAAGCCCCTCCACACTTGGATCCTGCTGGACTGAGCCTGCATGTCCCACACCTGGTGCGCCTGGCACAGGGGAGCAGAGCCTCAAGGTGTTCCAGGGGCAGGCCTGGCCCTTGAGCTGTGTCAGGGTGAGGTGCAGCCTCACCACCGAGTCCCTGTCCAGAGGGGGTGGCAGGAGTCTGCAGGGTGATCTCCACCCTGCTACCAAAAGGGGTAAGAGCTACTTTGCAGGACATTTGTTCTCATCATTTCTACCAACAGCACCACACACAATTCAGTCAGTTTGCTATGCTGGGGGGAGAAACACGTTTTCAGTAAATACGTGTGATGCTAAAGCAGCCCGATGCTGGCGGCTCTGTCTTCTGCTACATCACAAAGTCAAGCCCCTGCGATGCTGCGCTGTCACTTTACAGTACACGTGCAGTCAGCTGCACACACCAGATATTTAACACCAAATATCATTCCCCTAACAGCGGATTGCCACCTCTTTATTAGACAGCAAACACACAACCAATATTTGTAGGGGTGGTTCCACCCATGCTCAGTGCTTGATGGACCTGACCCAAAGCCAAATGACGTCAGTCAAGAGACTTCTATTGACTTCACTGAGCTTTGGATCAGGGGATATATTCCTAATGCTTAGAAGATGGCACACACATCCCAGCTCCCTAAATTTACTCCCCGCCTCAGAAAAATGAACACAGTGGACTGGAACATCACCCAAAATGGACCCAACTATTCCCTCAATATAAAGCATCTAAATATAGGCCTACTCTGCTGATCCTATTAGAGCAACATGGCGCTAAGAAATTTTATTTCTTTTAATATTTGAACCTCTTGGTCAGTTTCCCTTTAGTTTTGGTTGGGGCTGATACATTTTAGCAGGCTGTGAACCTGAACAGCGTGTTTTATTTACAGCGGGTTGAATCCTGAGGGTTGTTTTCTCAGGTTTTGCTCCATTTTTATTTAGCCTTTCCTCAGACAAATTCCCACCGAGCACAAAGATTGATATGAAGTCAGTGGAAGCATACACTGAAGAATGGCTGCAGGATTCAACCCACCGTTATTTATTTTTATTTCCTACATATTTCAAGTAGGCTCATCACCAAACCGTCTTGGTGCCATTTACACAATTTAATTTTGAAAGTACAGTACTTTCCCCTTCCACTTTCTTAAAGGCCAGACACAGAAGAGTAGCCAGGACATCAGTCAATTGGCCTTGTGCTCCTAAATGCCTTAAGAATGTGGGGAAAATCTCCCCTGAGGGTCCTGAAGCAGAGAGAGCTGAGTCTAATAAGACTGGGATTGTGCATCACTTTAACGATAGGAGCATAGATGAACTCAGCTCAGAGGGAAGTCATAGCATCTGCCAGGAAGCATCACCTGCACTATTTTCCTCTTGGGCTCTACACTTAGATAATGCCCTGTTGCTACCATGACACATCTCACCACTCTCTAAAACCTCCCGGAAAGATCTGAGCAGAGCCAACTTAAAGCAATTCCATCCAGTCCCAGTATTCCATTGGTGTAAGGCAAGATATCAGAGGTCATCGTTGTAGACCCAGACATAAGAACAGCCGTATCGGGTCAGACCAAAGGTCCATCTAGCCCAGTATCCTGTCTACTGACAGTGGCCAATGCCAGGTGCCCCAGAGGGAGTGGACCTAACAGGCAATATCAAGTGATCTCTCTCCTGCCATCCATCTCCATCCTCTGACAAACAGAGGCTAGGGACACCATTCCTTACCCATCCTGGCTAATAGCCATTAATGGACTTAACCACCATGAATTTATCCAGTTCTCTTTTAAACGCTGTTATAGTCCTAGCCTTCACAACCTCCTCAGGTAAGGAGTTCCACAAGTTGACTGTGTGCTGCGTGAAGAAGAACTTCCTTGTATTTGTTTTAAACCTGCTGACTATTAATTTCATTTGGTGACCCCCTAGTTCTTGTATTATGGGAATAAGTAAATAACTTTTCCTTATCCACTTTCTCCACATCACTCATGATTTTATATACCTCTATCATATCCCCCCTTAGTCTCCTCTTTTCCAAGCTGAAGAGTCCTAGCCTCTTTAATCTCTCCTCATATGGGACCCGTTCCAAACCCCTAGGACCCGTTCCAAACCCCTACAGACAGGACTGTGGCCAGATGTCTACGAGCAACACAGATTGAAATTTGGTTCTGCTCTAAAAAGTGACTTGGTAAATATGACCCTCTATCTCAATTGGCCTGGTTCTGGTTTGTATTATTCACACTCATATCCACTTACTTTAGTCAATCACATTTTTACTGATTTAAAATCTTGTTATCCCTGCAGAGCCAACATAGTTGTGACTAAGCCAAGTTCTATAACTGCTTATGCATCAGCAACAAATGCCT